TATCGAAAAAACGAGAACACTCCATTGGATCGCTGGGCCCCAGCCCCGCTGGGCCCCAGCCCCCAGGAATTTTCTTCGGTCTCTTCGTCCCTGGCATCCGACGACGCCATGCCGAAAAGCAGCACCGTGCAGCATCACGGCTGGAGCCACAGACCCCAATTTTTTCCGCGGCACGTCGAGTCGCATCGACCCGCGATGGGCGACAGGCGATGCGCCGCCCGGATCTCAAGGTGGAGTCTCTTGAGACTAGTAAGCGCTGTGCTTGCAGATCCTGCGGGGCACCCACAGCGGCTCTGTGTTTCCAGACGTGCTCGCCAGCCGAGTCGGTCTGATCCGCTCCCCCTTCCAAGAGATCCGACGTGGAGGAGGAGGGTGAGGAGGAGGCGGAGGAGGAGGAGGAGCGGCAGGAGAGCGACGACGAGACCATGAGGAGGCAGGAAAGAGGCGCCGAAAAAGCCCAAAGGAGGAGGCCAGGACGACGTCGACGAGGCGGCCCCGGAAGGAGGCAGGAGGCAGCGCGAGACGAGCGTCGAGGAGAGCGACGACGAGACCATGAGGAGGCAGCAAAGAGGCGCCGAGGAAGTCCAGAGGAGGCGGCCAGGACGACGGTGACGAGCCGGCCCCGGAAGGAGGCAGGAGGCAGCGCAAGACGAGCGTGGAGGAGGAGGAGGAGGAGGAGGAGGAGGAGGAGGAGGAGGAGGAGGAGGACGAGGACGAGGCGGATGAGGAAGAGGAGGCGCCGGCGGCAGCAGAGCAGGAGAGGAATGCAGAGGACACGGTCATGACCAAGAGCGCCTTCACCGCAGCGCTCGCGGAGAGCTGAGAGGCGCAGCAAAACAGCAAGTTTGTCATTCCCGATGTTGTCATGGCCCAGACCCGCCAGAAGAAGGCGACCAAGGTCGGGAAGCGCGAGGTTTTCGGCAAATCTTCACGGAGAGGGCGAAGAGCCAAGGCAATCGTGAAGGCTTTCCCCGCGAACGCCCCCGAGGTCGTTCTGAGGGCCCCCGCGTCGGTCGGTGGCGGGCAGTGCCAGTCGGGGAAGCCACGGTCTCTGCAGCAAATCGGCGGGCGGATCGAGCCCGCATGATGTAGCTTTTCCCTGAACAGAGAGAGTTTTCCTCCTCCTCCTCCTCCTCCTCCTTCCCCTCCTCCTCCTTCCCCTCCACCTCCTCCTCCTCATTGTGAGAACCGGTTCCTGCTTTCCAGAAGGCGAGAAAGGTGCGGCCTGCACGCCGTGCCGCGTCTGGGCTCGTGCCGTGCGCGCGCGCGTGCCGCGCCCTCGGCTTCCAGAGTCCGAGAAGCCCGTGCGAGTGACGTGCCGTGCTCTTCTGGTTCGCAGTCGGTTGCCTCGTGGATGTCTCGATTGTCCCAGTCGTCTCGTGGTTGTCGTGTGGCTGTCGTGTGGTATCGATGGGTCGAATGATAAATCGCTAGACAAAACAGATATACCCAACTGTGAGAATTGACACCGAGATGCCCAATCGGAAGTTCGATTTCGGTCTCGGTCCTTTGTGAGTGACCCGCGAGCGGGCCTGGCGACGCTGCGCGAGGGCGAGAGAGATCGCAGCTGAGCAAGGGCGATAGAAAGCAGAGTTTCCCACTCCTTCTCCCCCGCGGCCAGCCAGTGCTCCCGGTTGTCGCGTGGATGTCTCGGCTGTCCAGGGGTTGTCCCGGGGTTGTCCCGTGGTCGTCGTTGTCCCGACGATTTCCCGATGGTTGCACTGGTGGTTGTCCCGATTGTTGTCCCGATGGTTGTCCCGATGGTTGTTCCGATGGTCGTCCCGATGGTTGTTCCGATGGTTGTCTTGACCGTTACTTCGATGGTTTCCCGCTGGTTGTTACGATGTTTGCCTTGGTCTCCCCGATGGTCTCCCCGATGGTTGTCCCGATTTCTGTCCCGATGGTTGTTGAGATGTTTTTCCCGATATAGTGAGATCGGCGAATCGTGATATCTATAGATGTACCGCTGGTGATATCGACAGAGGGAGAGAGAGAGAGAGAGATAAAACGAATAAATCGATAAAGAAAGAGAGGTCGCTGACATGTGTATATATGTATATATAGACATATTCCCCAATCAGTGCTTGCACTGAATGGGTCCTCGCGGATGTTGAAGGATTTGGCGAAAGTGTCCCGCCGATGTTGGTTGCTGGCTGGGTTTCCGGGTCCCCTGTTCTGGGTTCCCGGGTTCCCGATTCCGGGTTCCGGGCCGATTTCGTCGGAGTGCGGCGAGGTTCCCGGGTTCCTGGGTTCTTGGTCGAACTTGTTATCGATCGGTCGCACCATCGATCTCATTACCCAGTTTTCTATCGATCTCACCATCGATCTCACAATCGATCTCGCTATCGATCTCACAAGCGATCTCACTAGAGATCGCATGAGCGATCATCTCATTCTCGATCTCATTGAATCGATTTCACTCTCGGTCTCACAAGCGATCTCACTAGAGATCGCATGAGCGATCATCTCATTCTCGATCTCATTGAATCGATTTCACTCGGTCTCACGATCGACCTTACAATCGTCCTCACTATCGATTCCACTATCGATCTCATTTTTGATCTCACAGTCGATCTCAAGATCCATATTATTAATTCTCAAATCATCCACTGATTGGGTTTTCTCAGATGTAACATCTGTAAACATACATGTATACACATAGATGTGTGCATGTGTATGTAGTTTCCTCTTCCTATATTTTTATAAGCCCGGGCGGGGGGAAAAACCCGTCACCCCCCCTCAAAAAAAAAACGGACTCGCGGGAACTGGCGCTTTGGGACCCTCCGGACGGGCCTCGAAGCGGCCCCCCAGGCCTCGCAGGGCGTTTCGCCAAGCCTTCCCAGCACCCGAAGACGGCCCCAGACGGGTTCCAGGCGTTCCGGCGCGCTCCCGAAACGACCTCAGAGAGCCCCAATACGGTCCCCGACGACGCCCGAAGCCGTCATACCCCCAGAGATCGCTCCGAAACGTCCCAAGAGGCCTCCAAGAGCACTCCCTAGAAGGACCCAAGAGGCAAACATCTGTGATTTTCCATAAGTTTTTAGTGAATTTTGGGGTTATCCTCTTTTCGGCTTCCCGACGCTCCAAGACGGCGGTCTTCTGGGCGTCCCAAGCCGCCTTGGAGGCTCCAAAATCGCTCCACAACTATCCGAAAGGGCTTCCAAGCAGTCCAAAACAGCTCCACAGCGTCACAACAGGGGTCCAAGATGGCCCTAAGAGAGCCCCATGGCGGCCCAAGATGGCCCCAAGACACGTTCTGAAGCATTCCAAATCGTGACCCAGTCATTTAGGGAGACCGCGGTTGGAGGCAGGGTGGCCCGAGGAAGCCCCCAGAAGACCCCAGAACACGCCCAGGAGGCCTCCAAACGGCCTTGAGAAAGCCTGAAAACTGTTGTGAGGCCCCCAGAGGCTCTCCAAAAAAGGACTGAGGAGGATGGGGAGAATGCGCAGGGTATGGCGAGAATGAAGAAACAGAAGCATGGAGGAAGGATAACGAATAACATTATTAAATTATGATAGCGACGATGCCGGAAAAGGCAACAAGGATTTATCGCTAAATTGCCAGCTTGACCTTCTTGCCATCCCGCCTGCATGCCGAACTTTAGGGACCAAGGTGCATGGCGCGAAGCGCCAATGCAGTCTTGTATATATATATATATATATATATATATGCCCGGATCCCTGGCCCCGGGGGCCCCTTGGACGCCTTTGCAAAAGGTTCCCCGGGCTTTTGGGAGCTTCTGGGTGCCCCTGCTGGGTCCAGGCAGTGGGGCCAAACCGGTCAGAAGGGCGGCCGAAAAGCCCCCCCTGGCCCCAAGAGGCCCCACCCACGAGACACCCGATGACAACCCAAAGAGCACCCCTAAGAAGTTTTCGCAATGCAGAAAACAATGATTTCCACTAGTGTTTGCATGACTGTGGGAATGCTCTGTTCTTCGGTCTACCAGGCGTCCGAGGCCGCCCAATAGGCCCGGAAATCATGCTAAAACTATCCGAAAAGGGCTTCGAGGCAGTCCAAAAGAATCCCAAAACGGCCCAAGATGGCCCGAATAATGCCAAATGACGGCCCAAGATGACCCCAAGACGCCCCCCGAAGCATTCCAAAGCGTTTCTCAGCCTTTCAGGGTGACCGCAGTTGGAAGCAGGGTGGCCCGAGGAAGCCCCCAGAGGCCCTCCGAAAGCGCCCAGGAGTCCAGAAGGCCCAAAAAGCAAAGTAAAGCGTTCGTGAGCTCCCCAAGAAGCTCTCCAAAGAGGAGCCTCCGCAAAAAGAGAAGAGGAGAATGGGGACGAATTCGCAGGGAGGGCGAGAATGAGGAAGAGGAAGCGGAAGCATGAGGGACGGATAACGAATGGCATCATATGGCGACGATGTCGGACAAGGCAACGAGCAGTTACCTCGATTTGTTCTAGGTTACATTCCTGCCCGTCCGCCGCGACCTCCGCCTGCACGCCAAGCGTCAAGGATCACGGTGCATGATGCGAAGCGCCAATGCAGTCTTGTATATATAGATATGTATATATATATACATATGCACACATTTAGATCGCGAGTCCGCTCTGACGCCGTCCACAAACCGAAAGCTGCGCCCATTCCTGCCCAACACTTGTCATAGTTAGTGACGAGTGTTGTTTCATGATTTGCGCTAGATCTGTTTCAATTGATGTTTATGTTGTTTTCTAGACATGTGGTTTTAGCCCGTATGAGTAGTTGCGAGGCGTTCTGCGGAAGCCTTGTCGCGGGTCGTGACTGGTTTCCGTTTCGGTTTCAGTATGTGGTCTTGAAGGGGGGGCGTGTTGTAGAGATGTGCAACGCAAAGATGGGCAGCTTCAAGCCTGTTTTGACGTCCCTGCGGTGTGTTCATGGGTTTGAATTCGCGCCCCTCGACGACATGAGCACATTGAGTTTGCGCATGTGGAATCTCTACTGACCGGGCATCAACTGTAGCGCCCAACTGCTACAGTTTCGAACGCAATACCACGGTAGTGCGCGCACAAGCATAGGGGTCACGGTCTTCTGCCATTTTCTTGTACCAATTTGGCTCAGGCATTTTGTTTGTTGCCATGGTTGTCTGGGAAGATGCCACAACGCCGCTGTTCACTGGTATGGGGGCGAGCGAGTTGCAACGACAGGAGCCTCTGAGAAGGAGCGCTATGCTCTTCGTCGCGATGGTTGGCCTCGTCGGGATCATGTTCGGATACGATATGGGTATCACTAGCGCAGCACAGGATGCCCTGCGAGCCCACTTTGACCTCACCAGTGGCCAGCTGGAACTATTTGTGGGGTCGCTCAGCTGGTGCGCTTTGCCCGGCACGCTGCTCGGCAGCGTCGTTGCAGATTCCCACGGACGACGGTTTGGCATCCGCTTGTCCGCTTTCGTCTTCCTCGTCGGAAATTCAGCCATGGCCTTCGGACGATCGTTTTTCGTGGTAATGCTCGGTCGGGCCACCGCTGGCTTCGCTATGGGACTGACCTACCCGATCGCACCGATGTACGTGGCGGAGGTAACTCCAGCGCGGCTTCGTGGAGGCTGCACGGCGTTTCTCGAAGTGTTGAGCAACGTCGGCATTCTCTTAGGGTACTTGGTCGGCTGGATCTGCAACTCGCTGCTTGGGTTGAATAGTTGGCGGACCATGTTTGCCCTTGGGTTGTTCCCGCCGTCGCTGCTTCTATGTGGTGCTTGTTTTGTGATGCCTGAATCTCCCAGGTGGCTGGCGTCAAAGGGCAAGCTCGCGGAAGCACGCGACATTCTTTCCCATGTCCTTGGGCCGCTCGAGGCTCATCGATCGTTTGGCGAATTAACACGTCTTGCTGCAAATGAATCTGAGGCCCGTGGCGGTTTCATGGATCTTGTCGTGACACCAGATTTGCGAAGGATTGTAGTGGTCGGAGCTGGCGTCGCCTTCTTTTCACAGGCCACTGGTTGCGAAACAATTGTGTATTACACTGGCCCAATCTTGCAGCAAGCTGGTTTTCAGCGGGAGTCCATGTTGCGAGCTACCGTGCTCATGGGGACTGTGAAAACAGCGGCGGTCGTCGCAAGTGCAGCATTTGTAGACAGAGCAGGACGTCGACCTCTGTTGTTCGCCTCTGCTTTGGGCATGGCTGTCAGTATGGGCACGATGAGCGCAGCTGGACTGGCACGCGTTGTCCCAGCGGTCCAGGTGATGGCGCTGTGTCTCTTTGTTGTGGCCTTCTCGTTTGGCTTCGGGCCCATAGTCTACACGTACAATGCCGAGATCTACCCGCAGCGGTATCGAGCGGTTGGCTTGGGACTCGCGATGGCCATATGCAGGGTCATGTCAGCGGTGATCTCCACCACATTCCTTACGCTCTCTCATTGGCTGACTACATCCGGCGCGCTTGCTTTGTACAGCGGAATCGGTTTCATTGCGGCCTTGTTCGTCGCGCTTGCTGTATGGGAGACCAGGGCACTGGAACTCGAGGGAGGCAGCCAGCACGTCCCCAAACCGGTGCCCGATGACGCATACGCAGCATGTATTGGTGTAAGGGCGTGTCCTCCAGGATCATTCGAGCCGCGAGGTTCCTCCAATTGACTTGTACAGCTCCATGTCTTGGTCGGCTGTCAAGGCATGGTCATTGCCGATTTCCTCGATTGAGTCACTCACTCGCGCTCGTGCGTTTACGTGAGGTTTCCGCCACTCTTTGTGGACCAAGTTTTCTGCCTACGGGCACTTCACTCGATTCTGCACCTACCTGCGCTTCTTGATGCTCCTGATACAATAAATTCACATTTCGGCCACTACCAAATCAGGGCGAGGATGAGGTGGGAGGAAGGAGACGGGAGGAGGAGGAGGAGGACGAGGAGGAGGAGGAGGAGGAGGCGGAGGAGGAGGACGAGGAGAAGATCTGCAGGGAGGGAAATTATAATGCAAGGATCCGCATTGAACACTGGAATCGGGGACACAAACGCCCGGAACCAAAAGGAACGAACCCAGGACTTTCACAGCCACGAGCCTTGGAACCCAAACAACCGACGCGGACAACTGAACCCAAAGGCTGCAGAAGCGCGCTGTTGGGGAGTGGGAGGGGGGTGGTACGTGGGAGGAGACGGCAAGGACGAGACAGGAGGCTGAGGAGGAGGAGGAGGAGGAGGAGGAGGAGGAGGAGCACAGAGCCAAGTCGTCGGAAATGCTCCAGCCTCCCCGCTGCCAGGATGGGCGCCCCAGGGAGCGAGCGAGAAGTCTCAGCCTTTCCAGCAGCGCTTGCGACTCTCTCTCTCTCTCTCTCTCTCTCTCTCCGTTTGTGCTTCTCTTTGTGCCTCTGTCTCTGCTTCTTTCTCGCTCCCTCCCTCCCTCTTTGCCCAACTTTCTCTTCGCACTGTTCTTATTGCTTTTATCATTATCATCCTTCTCATCCAACTCCTTCCTCCATCCTCATCCTCCTGCTCCTCCTCCAGGGGCTGTCGGGGTTCTTGCTTCGTTGCTGCGGTTCCGGGCGTCTTGCCTTGCGATTCTGGGGTCCAGGATCCCGATTTCCAGGTTCGGGCCTCCTGGAATTTTGGGTTTCGCGTTCCTAAATTCATCCGATTCTGCGTTTTGTGGGGTCATCTGCAGGGGTGTCTGTGGCGTGGCAGAAAAAAGGAAAAGCACGCGGAGATTCGCAGTGCCTTGAAATAAACGGCCGATACGCGAAAGGGCGCCACAAGTAACATTAAGACGTAGTTGGAGAGGAGGAGGGAGGAGGAGGACCATCGCACGGCTTCGGAAGGGGTTCGACTTCGCTTACTGCGACTCGAGCGCCTGGGCTGCCTGGGTGGCAACCGCATCGATTGAAATCGGAGGCATGAAGACAATGGGACTCGTCTTAGAGGCCCGAGGATGTCTCCCCTCCTGGAGGCGCGCATGGGCGCCTTCTGAAAAGTGTGACTTGAATTTCCTGAGACAACTCTTCTGGAGGCTCTTCACAGTACACTCTGAATAACTGCCGCACAGGTGACATGCAACAATAAAACTGTCGTCAACACAGCTGTCGTAAACAAACAGCTTGTGTCCATTGGGCTGCATGCCAAGCTTAGCTAGTCTAGCAGCATTGCCTGGGCACCTTTCCTTATCACGTGAAACCTTTACTTTGTCAGAGCGGCAACGCGAGTGGCATACGCAGCAGAGCCAACGATTCTTCTGCCACGCCCAGACGTGCCCAACGCGAGCACGGGCGGCCCGAAGGGGGCGGGGAGGGGGAGGAGCCGCCGCAGCTCCAGAGCCCGAGGAGCCCCCTGAGTTAGCTCCGCCTTGCCACACTTCCGCGATTGAGCCAGCTCCGACAACGGGGTTGGTAGCCTTCACAGGCCCCTCCAGGGCCTTTCCCCCAACCCTCGGCGCAATAGGAGGCCACAACACGAGGGCCTTCGGCACAAACCGAAGGAACCTTCGAACTCTCTGGTCGAGCAGCTGCTGGGCGTCACGCTCGTTGGCCGAGGGCTGGGGGAGGCGAGAGGCAGCTAATTTGGCAATTCTGTCGGCTGCATCGTTTCCCAAGGCGTGGCGCCACTCTTCAGAGTAGCGCTCGAGGGAATCTACATCTTGATGGGCTTTGACCTTGGCAACTTCGAAACCCCCGTCGCGGCTGGCTTCTCCAAGCTTGGCCATAGCACCAATCCCGTCATACATATTCTTCCTACTGGCAGGGAGTCCCGAATTGTGGCAGGCCGCGACTCCCTTAAAGTCGGAGTAGATCTTAGTTACTCCTCTAAACTGGCTGCTGGCTAAGTACGCTAGGAATTCGGCCGCTGGGGATGTGGGTGGTAGCGCGCTGCCTACTGGCCCACACAGGTAGGCTTCTATTTCCCCATGGGGGTCACATTTAACCGTAGCCCAGCCTGGGGCGTGAAACCAAGCGTGGCCCGTTTTGGCCACGCTGCCGTCGACGTAAACCTCGCTAACGAAAACTTCCGCGGGTTGACGGCCATCACGGGACCAAAACACAGCTTCATTCAAACCTAATCCTACGGGCCGCGGGACCTTGAAAGGGGGCGGCCCGGGAAAACCCGCACACGTGGCAAAGGCTGCTGGGTCCTTCAGGGCTTCCACATCTCCTTCCTCAAGAAACTCCTCCCTAAGCTGAGCACAGTTGGGGCACTCCAGAAGGCGGTGGAATATGTGGTCCTGGGGGGCCCCGCATATGCACGTGGTGTCAATGTCGTAACCTGCTTACTTGAGTCTACACTTGGTCCATATCGACTGGGTCAGGTACGAGACGAGAACACTTCGATCTTGCTTGGATAATCTTTTATCTGCAACTGCTGCTTTGGCGTGTGACAAATCAATTGCTGGCACTCCTATCTTGATGGCCGCCTGCTCCGCCTGCCTGTCGTGCCAAGCTGCCTCCAGCATCTGACGAATGAGCGCTGGCGAACTTGTGGTGAGCGGGTAGACCTCGCCCTCCCCACTCATGAACTCCATGGGGCTGGTCCATGACCAGCCAACTCTAGGTAGACTTAAATACACCGCCCCAAGAGGACCTCGTATGTTTCCCCATCCCGAGGGTGGCTTGTCCAGGATATTGGCAGCCAGTTGTCGGAGTTCAGGCAGGGTGAATTCTGATTTCCTTGGGTCTTGGGCGGCTCGGAAGACTATGATGCTCCAGTACATGCATGGCCCCAGGGCGGATCTCCAGGTAGGGTCCTCAAGGATAGCGAGCGACAAGGCCCGAGAACGCGTAGCACACTTGGGCCCAGCAACCTTCAAGAACAGCGATTGAGCCTCCTGGAGCTCCTGCACAGACATCCCAATAATTTCAGTCCCAAAATAACCAGCTTGCTGGAGCCCCGTATTCCAAACCTTACGAGTGTCAGCTCCAGCAGCACGAAGGGCGCGCAGGCGACGAAGTCTCAACTTCAACTTGCAGGCTCTTCCTTTCAAAGCTTTCCTTCCCTTGCTCCTTAGTCTGGCTCCTGCAGTGAAGTCGACTCCTAAGTTAGTGGCTGCCGTCTCGGCCAGACCAGCCTGAGGGCCAGCCCACTGGCCAAGCTTGGCCGCAAGATCGGCCTTGATCCTCGGCGTCGAAGCCACAACAGCAGCCTTGTGCTTAGCGATATCACACTTAAGATCGACGACGATCGACTGATGCATACTGGCTGAGGCCGTGACTAGATCTGCTATCAATTTGTTCGGCTTGCTGTTGTGGCTGGCAAGCAGGAAATCGTCAATGAAAATGGTAGGCTGCACTCTGGGGTTCTGAACCACCCAGATGTCGATGGGCGGCAAGCAGTACTGCTGCACAGCAAAAGTGGCGGCCCAGCAGCCTGCAGCTATACCTCTCTCTGGGCAACCTGCAGGTAAGGCTGAGGATCTCGTGGCTACTGTCCTGGGCGCCTGGTACTGATTGCTAATAATGACTACCAGGGAATCCGAGAAATTGGTATCCTGAGCTCTGTCCCTCCAGAGCCCCCTATCCACATATTCATAATAATTGGATAAATCCCAAAGAACAGCAGCTGTGAAAACTTTCTTATCTCCCAAGAATTGCCCTTCTGCTTGCATTGCTTGCTCGAAAACTACTTCCAAAACACCTTTGCCAGCTTGATGAGCTAGATATCTACGAGGGTGAGCGCGTTCCCAGGCACGAAACTCAAGCTGACGATGCTTGCCCCAAACTCTCCAAAGACCAGGCATCATACCTATACCCCTGTAGCTAGGACCTGGGTTAGGACCTGGTTTGTGCTTTTCGATCAGAACCGTCACGATGGCTCTTATCTGCGTCGGAAAGGCCCCTATCTTCTCGATGGACCTAAGGAGCCTACACACAATAGCCAGCTGGGCGTCCTCGAGGAGGCTGAAGTGTCTAGGGTGGATCCCGTCCCAGGCCCTAGCAGTGGTACTACTGAATTTGCGACTGGCTGCGCGCAACTGATCTGCTGAAATGTCTGCAAGGTCTTCACCTCGCAATTCGGCTTGAAGAAGGGCAGGCTCCTCAGGTCGAGCTCGCCACAGCTTACTTAAACGTTGCTGTTCCGCCTCCAACATATCGATCGGACGACCAGACCAGCGGGCTTTAGCAGAACTCCAGACTCTTGAGGGTTGCCAAGCCGTCAGTCTACTACTCCATCTGTGGGCCCACCCAACACCTTTCCCCATGGCTTCTGTGACCCAGAGTTTCCAGGATTGACGGTCGTCGGAACGGTCCCTGGCGATTTCACGGTCCAAAGCTTCTGAAATCTCCGAGTCCAGATCTTCGAAAACGGTGGCGATGAGCTCGAAATTGGGCTCGCTGTGGGTGGCATCCAAAAGCGTAGCCTGAATACACGTGCGTACACTGGTTCTTAAAGCTTCAAGCTCTGCGACTACTTCCAAATCTGCAGGAGGTGAGGCGAGGTCGAGCTGAGCCTGGTGGAGCTCCTCGAGGTCCTGTTCCTCCACTCCCCTCCTGATGTTGGTAACTTTGTTCCTTAACCATCTAAAGGCAGCTGCTGCATTCCTCCAACTCCTCCTATCCTTGGCCTCGACAGCCTTGGCGGGTATCCATCTTATCGTTGGCACCTGAGCTCGGCGCCTCTTACTTTTGAGCGGCGTGTCGGTAACGATACTGAGCGTGGTGGACATGTCGTCCACTAGGTAGCCATACGCCGCGTCCACGGCAGCTACTAAGGCATCAAGCGAAACTGGCTGAAGAGGAAAACACTGCCCCGTGTCCCCAAACACGGCATATTGATCACGTTCCTCAAGAAGTCCCTCCAGACACTCCAGAGCCCCAAGACTTCGAGACCACGGTGGGACCATGTTGCGAGGACCCACAGGGGCGACCACTGGGATGAACTG